GAGTAAAGTCGTCTGACCAATCAGAGCAAAGCATTTTGACCCATCTGAGCAGTGTAGAGCCAAAGTCATCTGACCAATCAGAGAAGTGTAGAGCCATCTGACCAATCAGAGCTAAGTAAAGTTGTCTGACCAATCAGAGCAAAGTTGAGCAATCTGACCCATCAGAGCAGAGTAGAACCAAAGTCATCTGTCCAATGAGAGCAAAGAAGAGCCAAAGTCATCTGTCCAATGAGAGCAAAGTAGAGCCAAAGTCATCTGTCCAATGAGAGCAAAGAAGAGCCAAAGTCATCTGACCAATGAGAGCAAAGAAGAGCCAAAGTCATCTGACCAATGAGAGCAAAGTAGAGCCAAAGTCATCTGACCAATGAGAGCAAAGTACAGCCAATGTCATCTGACCAATGAGAGCAAAGAAGAGCCAAAGTCATCTGACCAATGAGAGCAAAGTAGAGCCAGTCATCTGTCCAATGAGAGCAAAGTAGAGCCAAAGTCATCTGTCCAATGAGAGCAAAGAAGAGCCAAAGTCATCTGACCAATGAGAGCAAAGAAGAGCCAAAGTCATCTGACCAATGAGAGCAAAGTACAGCCAAAGTCATCTGACCAATGAGAGCAAAGTAGAGCCAAAGTCATGTGACCAATGAGAGCAAAGTACAGCCAAAGTCATCTGACCAATGAGAGCAAAGTAGAGCCAAACTCATCTGACCAATGAGAACAAAGCAGTCAGAGACATCTGACCAATGAGAGCAAGATAGAGCCAAACTCATCTGACCAATGAAAGTAAAGCAGTCAGAGTCATCTAACAAATAAGAGCAAAGTAGAGCCAAACTCATCTGACCAATGAAGGCAAAGTGTAGAGTCAGTGACATCTGACCAATCAGATTAGAGTAGAGCCATCTGTCCTACATGTAGATACAGTAGATGTCTCAACAATCTTAAAGCATAATAAGGGCACTTTAAAGGGACCCTTGTATGCTTTGTATAGTATGTTTAGTGGGTAATGTTTTGTTTGTTTATATTTCAGTAAATGAGACACAACATGTAAAGGCTCCACGCTCTTCTAGAAAAGGGGAGATGGGGGACGGCAGCAGCTCATTTGCATTTAAAGAGCCACCTAAAGATTTAGAAGCGGAAACATGAGAGACTGAAATGAACTGGCGAAATGGTTTTTCCCCAAGAATCGATCTGAACAGCGTGTGCCGAAGCAGAACCGCAGAACTGCCACTGGAAGCAGTCAGATGTTAACCGGGGGGTCTAATGAGTCATCTGCAGCTCTGAACCCACTGATGATCTAATGTACACAACCCTGATATAAATATCTCCAACTGGTTGCACCCTTTCAGTGCGTCATTGTGAGGCAGAGGTTGTCCTGCAGGCAGAGTTTCATCTCTCCAGAGCTTTAGAATAAGGTCACTCGCTCTATTTCTCTCTCTCTTTCTCTCTCTCAAAGAAAGTGGAGAATTTTGCATGGCGCTAGAGCTGTGAATGCCTTTGTCTCACTTATAAATGCGAGTAGCAGTGAAGACTGTCAAAATAATTATATTTGCTGCTTGTTCAAACTAGTTTAAAATGAGCCAGAACAACACAACTCTAGAGATTTCTTTGGGACAACTTATTTGTTTTATGGTCAATCTACTTAAATCTGTGAAAGCAAAAAGTGAACATGAAGGAATTGTTTTTGTTTAATAGTGAACTCTGCATTTTTTTAGAGTGTTTTTGTTGTGTAGGCTTATAGTTCACTTTTTCAGTTATTAAATAATTTCATTGTTTTGGTGAGAATTTACATTTTTGAAAAATTAACCTTTATGAAAGTGATATACACTCACAGGCCACTTTATTAGGTACACCCATCCAACTTCTCGTTAACGCAAATTTCTCCTCAACTCATTTAGGCACAAAGACATGGTCAAGACGATCTGCTGCAGTTCAAACAAGCATCAGAACGAGGAAGAAAGATTTAAGTTACTTTTAACGTGGCATGGTTGTTGGTGCCAGACAGGCTGATCTGAGTATTTCAGAAACTGCTGATCTAGTGGGATTTTCATGCACAGCCATCTCTAGGGTTTACATAGAATGGTCTGAAAAAGAGGAAATATCCAGTGAGCCGCAGTTCTGTGGGTGCAAATGCCTTGATGATACCAGAGGTCAGAGGAGAATGACCAGACTGGTTCCAGCTGATAGAAAGGCAACAGTGACTCAAATAAGCACTCGTAACAACCGAGACATGCAGAAGAGCATCACTGAACACTCAACACGTCCAACCTTGAGGCAGATGGGCTACAGCAGCAGAAGACCACACCGGGTGCCACTCCTGTTAGCTAAAACAGGAATCTCAGACTGGTTTCTTGAACATGACAATGAGCTCACTGTACTCAAATGGCCTCCACAGTCATCTGAACTCAATCCAATAGAGCATCTTTGTGATGTGGTGAAACTGGAGATTCACATCATGGATGTGCAGCGGACAAATCTGCAGCAACTGCATGATGCTGAGACCAGCCTGGAAATGGCCAAAACCCCTCTAAAACCAGCCTGATGGACCAGCTAAAACCAGTCAACCTTTCGGCTGGTTTAAGCTGTTTTTTTTTCAGCAGGGAAAAGATGGTACATTTTGGGTGAACTGTTGATTTGATACAAAACACACCGAAAGCGCATGGCCATCACAGTGGCATGTTTTGCAAACGCTGAAGTTTAAAAATGCGGTTTTATTTGCTCTCTGCGGGCGCTGCTGCTGTCTCTGTGTAATTGGATTTTCTTTTTTCACGGTCTGGTCATTTTCAGCTGAACTTTCTGAAGGTTTTTCCTCCTCTGCCTGTTTCTAACAAGATGTATCTCGGCAGACGGAAGCAACAGCATATTACATCTTTACAGCCTGAGAGAAAACACACACACACACACACACACACACACACAGCTCCAAGGTTTTGTCTGTGCTTTGGGCTGTTTGTTTTGCTGTCTACTGATGGTCAAGTCAAAGGAAAGGAAGAATTGGACATGAGCAAATAATACAGACTGTGTGAGGAGAGTATTTCTGTGTAAATGACACGGGTTTATTGGCTAAGGTGCTTGGTTTGTTTACACGAGGTGGAAAACGAGGGAAAAACATGAAGCTTTAAATGCCGCCATCTAGTGGTGTCGCTAAATTAAAAAGATGATGCAATTCCTTACTTTTTCCAGATAAAGTAATGTGAAAATAGTCCAAAATGTTTTGGTTTTATGTTGAATATCTTATATTTAAACTTACAAAATTAAAAAATCAGTTTTTTACAACAATAATAACAAAACTTTGGAGCAGAATTATTAAATTATAATATATGGGAAGTACCATGTACACAAACAAAAATGGTCCAATGATTAGCCTAAAATTCATTTGTTTAAAATTCATCTTAAGCATTATATAGAAACCCTAAAAGACACACACACAAAAAAAGCTCTAATGATGTATGCAATTTTGGAATCCCTTGGAATTTTGTTCTTTCTATATCCCCTAATTTTTATATAAAAATTTTATTTTTATTTTTATTAAAAAAACTCTACTGATTTATTCCTTTGATGTGGAAAAAATGTTAACACTGTATTTCTCATTTTTGTATGCTATTGTTCTTGTTCTGCAATAGAAAATAGTTAAAGAGTAAAGTGAATATAGTCATTTTGTAACCAATTACACCATAGACTGTAAAGGATTACACCCAACTGATAGCACTGTTGGGTGAATTGGTGCGTTTGGACAGTTAATTAATTTACAGGTTGATTAAACGTTTTTTGTTATCGATTTCATTGAGTCATTATCATTCCCAAAAGTATCAGATGTTTTTGTAGTGAGTTTAATGAGAAACTATAGTCGAATTGCCATGTTTGTAAACATTCAAGATGCACGCGCAGAGAGGTTGCAGAAAAAACTGGGAACACTTGCGTTTACAGCGAGGGAATGACATCCAATGCCGTAGAGTTTGTTGTTGTCTTAGAAATAAGATATATTTAATAAATATTATATATATATATATATATATATATATATATATATATATATATATATATATATATATATATATATATATATATATTTACATAATGATTTCAGCATATTATAATCATCTCAGACTGGTTACTTGAACATGACAATGAGTTCACTGTTCTCAAATGGCCTTCACAGTCACCAGATCGCAATCCAATAGAGCACCTTTGGGATGTGGTGGAACTGGAGATTCCCATCATGGACATGCAGCTGACAAATCTGCAGCAACTGTGTGATGCTATCATGTCAATATGGAGTAAAATCCCTGAGGAATATTTCCATTACCTTGTTAAATCTCTGCCACGAAGGATTAATGCAGATCTGAAGGCAAAAGGACGTCCAACACAGTACTAGTAAGGTGTACCTAATAAATTGTCAGTTCATGAATGGTTTTGATTTGTAATTCACATTTTTATTTATAATATTTCTTAGTTAAATATTTTTTTAATTATTGTTAATTTTTAAAGTGTGTAGTTTTTCTTTTACATCATGGTTTTTGATCAACTGTGATTTCAGCTTAAAGGCACAGATCACCCTAAAATGAAAATGTCCCCATCATTTCCTCTCATTCAGGTTTTTCAAGTTTATTTGTCATATGCAAGAAAAATCTCATTTTTATTGATTTATTTAACCAGATTTTTGTCAAATGTCATATCCACGCCAAAGACTGTTTGCCATGGCTGTGGATTAAAGGTAATCATGTTGTAAATAATGTTCCGTTTCTTTCACAGACCAATAATTTATCTCCTTAAGACATCAATCTTATCTACAGGAGCCGCAGGTATACATTTTGTTTTGCCTGTATGTGTTTTTTAGACTCTTAAAGTGCCGATAACCATTGACTTGTATATTATGAATCCCCAATGACCACAGTTTTCCATATATATAACAAATATGTTTGTGAAAAGGCTGTTTTTTTTAATCCATTGCAATCAAAACCAAAAATATTTGCTTGAGGCATAGAACTGATAGCATTAACATTGTGAGCTCATTTTTTGTCACAAAAACTTTATTTTTAATTGTCAGTCCTGCATGGCTGAATAAAGTCCAAAGCTTAAAACCCGTTAAATAGCATCATCTCACAGTCACATTATTTCCCTGAATGCTCAGATTAGCAGTGTTTTGTGATTTCAGTGCAGATCAGCGATGAAGCCGCCATCTCCGCGGAGGTGCTGGTCCTGGACAGGTGAAGGTTCAGTGTAACCCCGATCCTCAGTCCTGTCTGGGAGAGAGAGGGAACTGGTTTATTTCACTTGTGAGCACAGGTGAGATGCATTCATGTCTTTAACAAATACTGTTTAAAGTTAGCTTTATTGTTAATTCTGCCTCATTCAAACATACAGAGAATTGAAATTTTGTTACTCTAAGACCCGTTGTGCATACCGCTAACAAGAACACTACTAGAGGAATGTAAATATTCAATAAATATAAAAATTTTAGTCAATTATACAGACAAAAACACAATATACAAATAAGGTCACATAGCAGGTAGAGTGCAAATAAGTGACTATGTGGCGTAGTGACACCATATCCTAAAAAACAAACCTCGATCCAGACTCTTTCTCTAACTTTCCGCCAATTTCTAATCTTGCTTTTATTTCAAAGATCCTTGAGAAAGTTGTTTTGACTCAGTTACAAACAAATTTGACTTTAAATTCGGTGCATGAGACATTTTAATATGGTTTTAAAGCTTTGCACAGAACGGAATTTGCACTTTTAGCACGGAAGTGGTGTTAGTGAGGCCAGCAGGGGGCGCCCAACCTGCGGCCTGTGTGGGTCCTAATGCCCCAGTATTGTGAAGGGGACTCTGTTCTGAATGAATGGTGAATGTAAAAAGGGATATCACAGCTCATTTTCAGCTAAGTTAAGGGAAATGGCACTAATTAGCTAACGTTTTCTTTCCCAGACACACGTCTTAGATGCCATTTATCAAATTTGAGTTAATAAACTGCTTCTTTCACTATATTAGACTTGTCACGATACTGAATTAAAAGAAAAAGCCGGCAATTTCTGTGTTTGCACTGGGTGAAGTTTGTAAACTGAGTGCAAACCAAACACAGATACACGGAGACTGAAGCGCGAAGCCGTGTAGATCAGTCGAGTCATCCGCGCTCAGCAGCGCTTCCATGTTAGCGGGAAATAGCCGGGTTTAAAACTTCAGTACCGGGACAACACTATTACAGACAAGACAAGGGTGTGCTGCAGAGGACTGCTGTGTTTTATCAATCACCGGGTTACATAGACTGAAGCAGGAAAGCGTCCGCACGGTTTTTGACTAGTGCCATGAACTGAAGCCCTGGGGTCCGTTCTTCGTACCTCGCTTAAATGATCTAAGATGATTTGGCAGATCCTGGATCTTTTAATCTTGATAACTGATCTCTCGCTAATTTGGTTCTTCAAACAAGTTCGCGAATCAGATTAGAATGTCTGGATGAACTGATCTGAGATCGCTGCGTGTGTTGTGAAGGACAGATCTATCGATCCTCGAAATCATGATCAGCAATGCAACGATTGGCTGACGGCACAGCAGCGTAATGACATCATCTGATTAATATTCAATTATCCATGTGAGCAAAATTACATCAAATTAGCAGTAAACGGCTTGTTAAATATGACACGCAATAACCTTCCACATTTGTTGTGAGCTGCAGGCTTTACTCTTTCATGTGTCAAGAGTATTCATCATGTGTTTCAATGCAAATCAATGTATTTAGTTTTACATTTAGAAATGATTTTCTTTATTATAGTAGCCGTTTTTTAATCTGTGTAAAGAATAACTGGTTGTTAACAAAAGCGTTTTCATATTGGTAAAGGCGTCTGCAACTTTTGTGAAGCATCAAATCACCGGCATATTAGCTGTCAAAACATGTTTATGACTGCATAAATGTATTATTGCTTTAAAAAAGTCACATATTGTGCATTTCTATTATACACAATTTGTACTAAAGCGATCTAAAAAGTTCATATCATTAAGTTTTCTCTTTGCACCACCAGGTGGCAGTCTTTGTACTGTCATTTCGAGGGTGCAGATTGCAAAAGTTTTATTAATATGTATAACTTTATTTATTTTATTAATGACTATAACTTTATATATATAGTTAAAAAATATGTACCATTTTCCCAAGAGTGTATAACTACGACTGTAAGAAAATATCAGAATTGGGAACATACTTTCTGTATTATCTTTGCTTGAACTGAGCCGATCTAATCCTGTTTATATGAATTGAACCTGCTCCCGATCAGGTTTGCCCTAGCAGAACTGTTGCCATGACAACAACTCTCGGATCAGCTTTGAAGAATGAAACGATCCTGGATCGTGTCAAATCGTCAATATCCAAATCCAGCTAACTGAGTAACCCACGTATGCAGAACGGACCCCAGGAGGACACTTAAGCGCATCACTGAGATTGTGATCTTGTTTGATGCTAATTTGCTTTTAATTGTTTAAAATAAACTTACTGAATAATATTAAAGTGATGGTTACACCATTTCTGCATTTTGAAATTTCGACAACAGCTGGAGGTTTGTAGTCTACAGCATGTTACTGCAATGTTTCCAGTGCTGGTCCTATTGACCTTATTCTAAAATGCTGAAGTGCGCCTGTTTTCGCGATTGGCTAAGAACTTCCGTTTCAGTCGCCTATGGGAGAAATGACAAGGAATAATAAACGGCAAAAAACGGTCAAACTACTTGCTCTACAAACAAATGTATGCATGACTATACAGACCAAGTAGAATAATATAACAAGGAAATATCAGTTTGCAACATCAAACAGCGAAACGAGCAGTTTTTAATGTCTAAAAATGAATGGAAGTGAATGAAACTGGAAGTCTCGTGCCAAAAAGGTTCAAATGGCAGCGCCCACTCGTCTGCGGAGAATAAGGTCATTACTTCCGGGTTTCTTCCCACCGCAGCCTCGCTTTGGTTCTTTAAAATGGCGGCCGCGTGAAATAAGCGTATACTGCTCTGTGAGCACTGTCTTTCAGATGAGACGTTAAACCGAGGACACTCTGTGGTTGTTAAAAATCCCAGGATGTCCTTCGAAAAAGACTAACCCTCCCCATATCATGATTGGCTTCATCACTCCAACGTCTCCTCTCCACCAATCAGCTTGTGTGATGTGTGCGGCCTGGCGCAAAAATGGCTGCCGTCACGTCATCCAGGTGGATGCCGCACACTGGTGGTGGGTGAGGAGATTCCCCCCTATGTGTAAAGCGCTTTGAGCGCCCAGAAAAGCGCTATGTAAATATAACGAATTATTAATTTAGGTAATTATTAATTATTTTAAGAGTATCAAGAGACATTTATACAGAAACTGATTCTGGGAAATCTATGGCGTTAGTCTTATTATAGTTAAGTTCTGCTTTTGACCTGATTGACCACAAGAAAATACATTTCAATTTTACACACTTAAAATAACTCACATCTACCACAGTCTATTAGATGAGGTGAAGCTTTGTATGCGTCTCACCTGCTGTCGCCTCATAGGAGATGTTGTGTTGTTTTAGGAGTGACTGAAGCCGTTCGATCTCTGTTCGCTGCTTTTCAAAGTCCTGTTAAAACAAACACGCTTGTTTACAACGGATGCAGCAGTTAAGCAGAGTGAAGGGTGCAGCATTTACATCTCTGACCTGTGTGCACTGCTCCAGACTGGGATGTGAGACAGAAGTCACGCTCTCCTCTGCCTTCTGCTGCTGAGCTTTTCTCAGAAACCCAGCCTCTTCAAACAGCTCCTTCAGCAGCTTATTATAACCCTAAACACACACATATGCCTTTAATTTGATGTTCTTAAGGTTTGCGTGTACTGGAAGTTGCTGAGTGTTTTATTTTAATATGCTAATTGGCTTCTAACTGAGACTGAATATTAAGTAAGGGGCGGGGCTTTGTTTTGCACATCATTCCCTCATATTGGCCACAGCCCTATAACCCTGCAGCCCAAGACCGGTTACTCACTGAAGCTAAGCAGGGCTGAGCCTGGTCAGTACCCGGATGGGAGTCCAGACTAGGTTGCTGTTGGAAGTGTGTTAGTGAGGCCAGCAGGGGGCGCTCAACCTGTGGTCTGCGTGAGTCCTAATGCCCCAGTAAAAGTGAAGGGGACACTACACTGTCAGTGGGCGCCGTCTTTCGGATGAGACGTTAAACCGAGGTCCTGACATTCTGTGGTCATTAAAAATCACATGGCACTTCTCGTGAAAGAGCAGGGGTGTAACCCCGGTGTCCTGGCCAAAGTCCCTCTATCGGCCCTTACGATCATGCACCCTGTTGGTGGTGTGGAGAGACCCCCCCTCATGATTGTGAAGCGCTTTGGGTGTATGGCCATACACAATAAATGCGCTATATAAATACACATTACATTACATACTGTGGCACACTAAATGTGCTCAGAGGCGCGTAGATAAGAATATTTATATACAGTTGCTATAGAAGTCCTCAGGTTAACATCAACAGAAGGACCAACTCCAAAAGCAGAAGCAAATACTTAGACTTTGATTGAAGATTACCAAAACGAACACATTTTTTCAGTGGACTAACTTGCACCGATTAATTATTCACCTTAACATTGTCAATTTTGATTTTACGCAGACTTTTAGTTTATTACAGACGCTTTGTATCCTGTTGAACATGGATTAAAAAAACACTACATGAGAAATCAGCACTGTATTGTGACATGGACTTTTTTGTGAAAACTTTGCAATTCAAATGAATCATGTTGACATTTGAGCTCAATAAAGACACAGTTCACCCAAAAATTTAATTCATTTACTCTCACTCAAGTGGTTTTCTGAAAAAATAATAGTCTTTTTTTGCTTCAAGATGGACACCAGTGATAATCAAATACACCAGTGATTTATAAAACCAGGCACATTTATTGAAAAAAAAAAAAAATGTCTTGAATTGAACTATGGCCTAATCCCGGCTTATTTCAAACCTAGTTAGTGAAACCAGGACTTAACTTATATAAAAAAACTTGCCTACTCAAAATGTAAACCAGCGATGTCCAAACTCGGTCCTGGAGAGCCGGTGTCCTCAAGAGTTTAGTTCTAACCCTAATCAAACACACCTGAACCACCTAATCAAGCTCTTTATAGACATACTAGAAACTTCCTAGCAGGTGTGTTGAAGCTAGTTGGAGCTAAACTCTGCAGGACACCGGCCCTCCAGGACCGAGTTTAGACACCCCTGATGTAAACGTACAGTAGTTAGCAAGGGTTTTTTGTGTTACCTGTTCTGTGATGAGTTCTTCATATCGAGATTGTGCAATTTCATCCCACTCCTTCTGTAATTTCTCACTTAAAACCGGATACACTGAAAACACACAAAAGCACGGCGAGAGACTGTGAATACTGTAAATAGCTTTTAAAGGAATGCTACACTTTTATATTTTGAAAATAGGCTAATTTACAACTCTTCTAGAGATACACAGTTGAGTTTTACAAATGTTGTTGCCATTCAGCTGATCTTTGAGTCTGGCGAGAGCACTTTTAGCTTAGCTTAGCATAGTTCATTGAATCGGATTAGACCGTTAGCATCTCACAAATTATTATTATTATTTTTTTTAAAAGAGTATCAATAATTTCCTATTTAAAGCTTCTGTTGTTATATTGTGTACTACGACCAACAGAAAATATAAAGTTACTTTTTTATAGACTGACATGGCTAGGAACTATAATCTCATTCAGGTGTAATGATCAAGACATTGTTGCCATACCATGGCTGCAGCAAGCAATGACATTACTTAGTGCTGTTACCTAGCTGGGGACTAATTTCAGATGCACTGCTGAAAACAGGAACATTTTTTTAAATAGGAAAATTATCACTTTTTTTTACCAAGATGCTAATGGTCTAATCTGATTCAATGATCTATGCTAAGCTATGCTAAAAGTGCTCCCTTCAGACCCGGAGATCGGCTAAATGGATTAAAAAATGGTACAACTCGCCTTTTTAACTGTAGGGGAATTGTAAAATGAGCCTATTTTCAAAACAACAAGGAGTGTACCTTTAAAACTTAACTAGTTGGATTAGATTATTAACACACATTGCTTAACTTACCTAAGAGGGAGTGTGAATGGCAGACTAGTGGCGTCTCAAATGTTAGAGAATAAACACACGTTTGTGGCTCTGAAACACCTGCTAGTTTACTGCTGCTTCCACACACCAGGAGAACCTAAATGCAGACATAAAATAGTAAATTAGGTCAGCATTTACTGAAAATACAGCTACATAAATTATATGTGTAACAAAATATATAACAAAAGCAGAGCAGCACGGTGGCTCAGTGGTTAGCACTGTCGCCTCACAGCAAGAAGGTCGCTGGTTCAAGTACCATCTGGGCCAGTTGGCGTTTCTGTGTGGAGTTTGCATGTTCTCCCCGTGTTGGTGTGGGTTTCCTCCGGGTGCCTCAGTTTCCCCCACAGTGCAACTAAATTGGCCGTAGTGTATGTGTGTGAATGAGTGTGTATGGATGTTTCCCAATACTGAGTTGCAGCTGGAAGGGCATGCGTGACCTCTAAAATGAAGACTAAGCCGAAGGAAAATGAATGAATGAATAACAAAAGCATCTCCTACCTTGGTCTGTCTGTTCTTGTTTCCGCATGAATCTCCTTCACGCATCCACATGCCAGTAAATGTGTTATTCTCAATCTCCCATTCGTGCCAAATACTACACACACACATACACACACACACACACAAAAGTACTCTTAAATAATGATTACCTATGAATAATAGAAAAAAATATAAGCTAGACCAGGGGTGGCCAACCCTGTTCCTAGAGAGCCACCTTCCTGCAGATTTCAGTTGCAACCCATATCAAACACAACTGCCTGTTATTATCACGTGGTGTTCAGGTCCTAATTAATTGGTTCAGGTGTGTTTGATATGGGTAGCAACTGAAATCTGCAGGAAGGTGGCTCTCCAGGAACAGGGTTGGCCACCCCTGAGCTAGACGCATAATTCAAATATAAAAAAAAGACTTTTATTAAAAGATTACCCCAGTATACCGCTGTATGCGTTCCATCTGAAACTCTGTTCATGCTGAGTCACATTATGAAAAGGACAAAACACATATTTGTATCTAAAAACAGAAGAAAACGTGTTAGTTTTTATTTCAATTGCACAAAATTCAGTCATTGTCGTACATGACAAAGTAAAAACACGTATAAAATAATATACAGACTATAAAACAATCAAAGTGTGATAAATACTTAAAGGGATAGTTCACCCTCACATTTTAATTTACTCACTATTTACTGTCTCAAGCGGTTATAAACATTTATGAGTTTCTTCTGTATTCTGAAGAATGTTGAAAACCTGTAACCACTGACTTCCATAGTAGGAAAAACATATACCATGGACGTCAATGGTTACAGGTTTTCAACATTTTTCAAAATATCTCCTTTTGTGTTCAAAAATCATAAGAAACTCATAAAGGAAACAAAACAAGTAAAAAGTGAGTAAATGATGACAGAATGAATCATTTTTTGGGTGAACTATATGACAAAGTAAAACACAATGTACATCAGATGAAGAGTTTCAAAACAATTAAAGTTTAATAAATATTTAAAGGGATAGTTCACTCAAAATTTGCTCACTGTTACTGTCGCAAGTGGTTTTAAACGCACAAAAAGCTGAAAACCTGTACCCATCGACTTCCATAGTAGAAAAAACTAATTGTATGGAAGTCAATGGTTACAGGTTTGCAGGTTTCTTAAAAACATCTTGTTTTGTGTTCAACAGAATAACTTATGAAGATTAGAAACACGAAAAACGTGAGTAAATGATGACAGAATATTTCATTTTTTGGGTGAACTACATCACAAAGTAAAAACACAAAATAATGTACATCAGATGAAGAATATCAAAGCAATTAAAGTTTAATTAATATTTAAAGGGATAGTTCACACCTAAATTACAATTTACTCACGATTTACTGTCTCAAGTGGTTTTAAACACAAAAAGTAAAAACCTATTGGCATCGACTTCCATAGTAGGAAAAATAAAATACTTTAGAAGTCAATGGTTACTGGTTATGGTTTACTATATGACAAAATAAAAACACATATTGTACATCAGATGAAGAGTATCAAAACAATTAAAGTTTAATTAATATTTAAAGGGATAGTTCACCCAGAATTAAAATTTACTCAAATTTACTACTGTCTCAAGCGAAAAAAGCTGAAAACATGTAGCCATCGACTTCCATAGCAGGAAAAACAAATAGTATGGAAGTCAATGGGTCCAGGTTTCCAACATTCTTCAAAATATCTTCTTTTGTGTTCAACATAATAACTCGTAAAGGTTTGAAACAAGTAAAAAGTGAGTAAATTATTACAGAAAGTTTCATTTTTTTGGTTGACCTACATGACAAAGTAAAAACTTATAAAAATAATGTGCATCAGATGAAGAATATCATAATAATTAAAGTTTAATAAATATTGAAAGGGATAGTTCACACCAAAATTTAAATTTACTCACCATTTACTTTCTCAAGTGCTTTTAAAAACAAAAGCTGAAAACATGTAGCCATCGACTTCCATAATGGAAAAACTAATTGTATGGAAGACAATGGTTACAGGTTTGCAGCTTTCTTCAAAATTTCTTATTTTGTGTTCAACAGAATAACTCATTAAGGCTGGAAAGAGGTAATAAGTGAGTAAATAATGACAGAATATTTAATTTTTCGGGTGAACTATCCCTTTACCTTTATCTTTTGCGCCAAAAAAGAAGACAACCACTAAAATGTCATTCAGTGTAACAGTAGTTTACGAAGAAACTATATGATATGGCATAAAACATATATACTAGATAATCATATTTATATATTTTTTTTAATGTGGGAAAAATGTTACTGACGTTGCCTCAATGTAGTTAAAGCATTTTCCTGCCAGTCTGTGCAGATGTGGAGGTCCAGACACTGGAGATGGGCTGACTTTAGCCTGCAATCGACTAGTCTGAGACACAAGTGGATTATTCAGTCTGAAAATGAAAAGAAAAAGGACATTTTGAATACAATTATTTTATATTTGAGCTGAATATGTTTTAGGAGCTGTTGGAAAGCTTACCCAAATGTGTTAGGTTCCTCCACTATCTTCATCTTCCCTCCTGACGTCACAGCCACTGACAAATAACATATAAGAACACCACAGCTGTTATGAATATTATTAGCTAAAACTCTACATGTAAAACCAAATACATTAAAACACTTTCAGTTCCGCGTGTTCAGCGCTGTGTTGATTTAATTATCTGATAATACAATTAGAAGGTAAGTCGATTTGTTATACTTACCTAGTGCTGTCAGATAAAACAGGCATACTTTAAAATTTACAATCTCCATAACTCGTGAAATCCTCAGATTTGTATATAAAACTACATCTCTGTTTATCGTCTGTGTGTTCATGTGACAACTGAAAACATCACCGATGTAAAGAGTGGATGGTTCTATGTTTTATGAATTTGTCGCTTGTGAAACGTATGAATTATCAAAACAGGACATTATATAATAGTTTTAATAGTAATAGAGAGGACGATATCGTTTTAAATTAAGATTTAATAGTTATTTTAGCTGTTTAAATAAAACCTAAAGCTCGAAATAAGCATCAAAACGTTCGTAAATCTTAAAAATGCGGCGCTGACAGTAAACCAAAAAATAATATGCTACATTTCCGGGTTTGATTCCGCAAGAATAAAAGTCCTATTGCGTTTTTACGTTTTTGATTATTACGTGTATGCTATGTATAACATGTGTGTAGTATTGAAGCTAAAATATCCTTTACAATTAAATAGTCAAAGCTAAATCTTTATAACTATGTCTGTGAATAAATTAGTTTTATTTTGGTTACAGCAACAGCCATGTTTCATGACGTCATCGTGTTTTGGCCTCACGAAACGGCAGCGTGTCAGAATTAATCTTTAAAGTGTGCTCTAAAAGCACATAAACATTTATATTTAAGCCATGGTCGGCGTAAAGTCGGTATAGTGGCGTGGTGTACACTGTAAAGATCTTAAACCAATAAGTCGCTCACACACGTGCGAAAGTTAAAGACTTTTAAACCTAAAATAAGCTCGAATTCAGACATGGGGCGTAAAAGACAGGGTAAATGTGAGCGATCTGTCCACAAGGGTAAAGACACTCGACACAGGATGAAGGGGAAATCATTGGACACATTCACAGAGGAGATGCACGAGGCTCTGCAAGGTCTGTGGTTTCTGCCATGTCCGTTTAAAGGGATTGTGCATGCAATGTTGTCATGCTTATTTTAGAAAACATCTCGAATAAGTCTCTGATGTCAATAGAGTGTATATGTGACGTTTCAGCTTAAAATACACCACCAATAATGTTTTATAACTCTTTGCAACTGCCTCTTTTGGGCTTTGATGCCAATTGGGTGATTTTGGTGATTGTCGCTTTAAATTCAAATAAGATCATGGGCTTTTAAAAAGAGGGCGGGACTACAAATGGCTGTGTGTCAGCATAGTGGCAGATTCTAAAACACGTTAAGCTGAATACTAGTATCTTGCGAAATAACTTGTAAAATATTGTTATTTATATTGTTATTAAAAACATACTGCCATCATGACGAAATAGTTACTAGGATTATTGTGTTTAAAACTATGTTGGGGAAAAAAAGCTTCTCTTTGTTAAACAGCATGGAAGATTTTTGAAAAAGAATTAAAATTTCACAGGATAGCCAATAATTTTGTGTGTCATGTTTGTGTTTCAGCCAGTGAGCATGCAGATTCAGAGGCGGCCGGAGGGGTGAAGTTGCCCTGTCCGCTGGCCATGTGGGATCTGGGTCACTGTGACCCTAAACGCTGCACAGGACGGAAGCTAGCAAGGAAAGGTTTAGTGCGCTGCCTACGACTCAACCAGCGCTTTAATGGCCTGATACTCAGCCCTATGGGAACCAAATACGTCACACCTGCCGACAGGTGGGCCACACAGGAAACATTTTTCAACAATAATACATTGTTCGTTGTTGATTGAATATGTTTTTGTCAGACCTGCTTTTGCACATTAATAAACTAATTTAGGTTAAATAGCAGAATTTGCACAGAAAAGCTACATTACGCATGATGATGTCAAGAAATTCAACCAATCAGAGAGTTACAGTGAACATATAGTGCAAAAATAGAACTTTAACTCCACCCACTCCCATAAAGCACTTAATCGGGTACTTAAATAATTGTATTTACATGCATTATTTTTCAGTAAACCTGAAATATATTGTTTTGTTTAATATAAAACTAGTCATAAGGATATTTTGGGGTTGTTTTTAATTCAATTGTGTCATTCACAATGCTTCATGGGATTATAGACATTTTCTTTATCGAAGCTATTTAGTTTAACTTTGTTTTTTTCTGTTATTCCTACTTTTGTTCATTTGTTCATTACTTTTAATGCTTTAATTAAGACTTCTTTCTTTACCTCAGTGGAAATAATAGCTCTGGAACTGCTTAACAAGATCTATAAAGATGTCAAAATGTCAGTTTTGAATCACGGGAAAAATGTACATTTTAAAACATTTTCTTGAATTAATTGTAATGCAGCGTTTAATTTGTATTTTTTTAAAACCCCAGTCTTTTGAATGGTAGTGCAGATAAAAACATCTGTTTGCATGCAGATTTTCATCTAGGCAAAGCAAGTTTATTTATATAGCACACTACATACACAGTGGCAATTCAAAGTGCTTTACATAAATAACAATAAAATAAAAAGAACAAAGAATTAAAAGTTATTAGACACAGATTAAAACTGATTTAAATGTGTTAAAACAGGTTATGAAGGAATGTAAAAGAAAATAAAGACATAATAGTGCAATCTGTGGGAGGTAGCACAGTGCTTATTCAGTAAAGGCACAGCTAAACAGATGTGTTTTCAGTCTTGATTTGAACTTGCCTAATGTTGGAGCACATCTGATCATTTCTGGAAGCTGATTCCAGCAGTAGGAGGCGCTGTTAGTAGCTGAATGTGGATTTTCCCTGTTTTTACTGAACTCTTGGAATCCCTAATTTACTTGATCCTAATAGTAAAGTGAGCTATTAGGTTTGTATTCAGTGAGCATATCTGTAATGTATTGAGGTCCTAGGCCATTTAGTGATTTATTGACAAGTAATAATACTTAAAAATCTATTCTGAATGTAACTCGGAGCCAGTGTTAAGACCTGAGGACAGGTGTGATGTGCTCTGATTTCCTGGTTCTAGTCAGAATCCTGGCCGCAGCGTTCTGATGAGCTGCAACTGTCTGACTGTTTTTTGGGAAGGCCAGTGAGGAGTCCATTACAGTAATCCACCCTGCTGCTGATAAAAGCATGAACAAGTTTCTCTAAGTCTTCACTGGAAACAAAGCATCTGATTCTTGCTATGTTTTTTAAGAAGAAGAATCTATAATATTGTTGATTTTCAGGGAGATTGTGGCACATGGTGGTCTGGCCGTGATTGACTGTTCATGGGCTCGTCTTGAAGACACACCTTTCAGCAAAATGATTGGCTCTCATCCGAGGCTTTTGCCGTATTTGGTCGCAGCAAATCCTGTCAACTATGGAAAGCCTTGCAAACTGTCCTGCGTTGAGGCGTATGCCGCCACCTTCTGCATTGTGGGTAAGAAAATTCTTCAGGACTTTTTTTTTTTAGTTGAGCATTTAAAAAAAGATATTTTTCACTGTTATAAACTAGCCAAGAGTGCCATCTGCTGTTAAATGTAACCTAGAGCAGTCTGCTGTTAAAAACTTGCCTAAAACATCATCTACTGTTAAAAACTAGCCTACAGCACCATCTGCTATTAGAAACTAGCCTAGAGCACCATCTATCTTATGAACTAGCCTACAGCACCATCTGCTATTAGAAACTAGCCTAGAGCACCATCTATCTTATAAACTAGCCTAGAGCGCCATCTGCTATTAGAAACTAGCCTAGAGCACCACCTGCTGTTAAAAAGTACCCAAGAGCGCCATCTAATCTTAGGAACTAGCCTAGAGCGCCATCTGCTATTAGAAACTAGCCTAGAGCACCACCTGCTGTCAAAAAGTACCCAAGAGCACCATCTAATCTTATGAACTAGCCTAGAGCGCCATCTGCTGTTAAAAACTAGCCAAGAGCACCCTCTGCTGTTAAAAACTATCCTAGAGCACCACCTGCTGTTAAAAAGTACCCAAGAGCGCCATCTAATCTTATGAACTAGCCTAGAGCACCACCTGCTGTTAAAAAGTACCCAAGAGCACCATCCAATCTTAGGAACTAGCCTAGAGCGCCATCTGCTGTTAAAAACTAGCCAAGAGCACCCTCTGCTGTTAAAAACTAGCCTAGAGCACCACCTGCTGTTAAAAAGTACCCAAGAGCGCCATCTAATCTTATGAACTAGCCTAGAGCACCACCTGCTGTTAAAAAGTACCCAAGAGCACCATCCAATCTTAGGAACTAGCCTAGAGCGCCATCTGCTGTTAAAAACTAGCCAAGAGCACCCTCTGCTGTTAAAAACTAGCCTAGAGCACCACCTGCTGTTAAAAAGTACCCAAGAGCGCCATCTAATCTTATGAACTAGCCTAGAGCGCCATCTGCTATTAGAAACTAGCCTAGAGCACCACCTGCTGTTAAAAAGTACCCAAGAGCACCATCTAAACTTAGGAACTAGCCTAGAGCGCCATCTGCTGTTAAAAACTAGCCAAGAGCACCCTCTGCTGTTAAAAACTAGCCTAGAGCACCACCTGCTGTTAAAAAGTACCCAAGAGCACCATCTAAACTTAGGAACTAGCCTAGAGCGCCATCTGCTATTAGAAACTAGCCTAGAGCACCACCTGCTGTTAAAAAGTACCCAAGAGCACCATCTAATCTTAGGAGCTAGCCTAGACCGCCATCTGCTGTTAAAAACTAGCCAAGAGCACCCTCTGCTGTTAAAAACTAGCCTAGAGCACCATCGGCTGTTAAAAAGTAGCCAAGAGCACCATCTAATCTTAGGAACTAGCCTAGAGCGCCATCTGCTATTAGAAACTAGCCTAGAGCACCACCGGCTGTTAAAAAGTACCCAAGAGCACCATCTAAACTTAGGAACTAGCCTAGAGCGCCATCTGCTATTAGAAACTAGCCTAGAGCACCACCTGCTGTTAAAAAGTACCCAAGAGCACCATCTAAACTTAGGAACTAGCCTAGAGCGCCATCTGTTGTTAAAAACTAGCCAAGAGCACCCTCTGCTGTTAAAAACTAGCCTAGAGCACCACCTGCTGTTAAAAAGTACCCAAGAGCACCATCTAAACTTAGGAACTAGCCTAGAGCGCCATCTGCTATTAGAAACTAGCCTAGAGCACCACCTGCTGTTAAAAAGTACCCAAGAGCACCATCTAATCTTAGGAGCTAGCCTAGACCGCCATCTGCTGTTAAAAACTAGCCAAGAGCACCCTCTGCTGTTAAAAACTAGCCTAGAGCACCAT